CATGTGCCATAACGGCCCACTTGTACACAGTGAAGAAGAGGCAGAGAGCAAAGGGGGAGGGGATAAGCAGAGAGAAAATATGGAAAGAAGACAAAGAAAAGGAAGAAAAATGGAAAGCGAAGGAAAACAACCGGGAATAAGAGCAAAGTAAGGAGTGTGGAATCAAGATGAAAGCATAGGAAAAGATAAAAAGAAGGCTCAAGATTCAGTTTGTCCAGAGATGACATACGTTGTCAGGATGAGATGGATGAGGACATGGAAGACCTAGCTGAGCATTCTGAGTAGAATAATTGCCTCGATGTCTGGCATTGAGCATGCTCATCAAACACTCCTGACAAATGGCATGTCGACATACAAGGCAAACATGAAACCGTTCTTTTGCCTCTTCCTATGCAGCCTTTTCTTTCATCAAGGTTGCCTCTTTGATTATCATTTCTCCTTTTAACTCCCCCTTCACTGTACCTTCAGGTACAAGGCTACGTACAAGGCTCACTACGCTGACGAAGTTGAGCATGAGCTGCCCACATCCCCGTGTGCCATAACAGCCCACTTGTACATTGTGAAAAGGGAGAGAGGATAAACAGGAGAGAAGAAATGGAAAGAAGTCAAAGCAAATGAAGACCAAGGGAAACTAAGGGAAAGTAAGGAGTGTGGAATGAAGATAAACACATAGGAAAGGATAAGAGAAGGCTCCAGAATCAGTCTGTCCTTGCGACAGAGAGGACATACATTGTAAGGATGACATGGATGAGGACATAGAAGACCTAGCTGAGCATTCTCAGTAGAACAATTTCCACAATGGCTGACATTAAGCACGCCCACCAAACACTCCCAACAAATGGAATGTCGATCACAGGCCAACATGAAGGAAGAATGGGCACCACAAAAAACCATGCATTCAGTGTAACGCCCACAACTTCAAAATGGACATATAGTGTCCGGATGGGGACGGTGCCTGCAGTCAGGAAAGGGGGGACAGTCCTCTGCACACATGGCTGCAGAAACCATGCCCTTGTAGTGATTGTGACAGAGACTCCGACGGCTGCAGCCGTGTTTAACAGTTTTTGTAGCTGTGCAAAGGAGAAGGTCTCAGAATCTTGATACAGTGTCTTGCTGTGCCACAGCGGCAGAGAAATGATCATCAGCTTGAAAGAGTGTGCAGACGGTTTGCGGCGGCAAGAAAACAGCATCGTTGTCTAAGAAATTAGTAACATCAGTCATGGCATGGACCATGGTGCTATTCTCCCACAGTGTGAGGGCTGGCATTAAGCATGCCCACCAAACACTCCTGACGAATGGCATGTCGCTTGCAGGCCAACATGAAGGAAGACCGGGCACCACAAAAGACATGCATTTATGCCGCCCAGATGCAGAGGGTGCCTACAGTCAGGAAAGGAGGGACAGTCCTCTGCACACATGGATGCGGAAACCATGTCATTGTAGTGATTGTGACAGAGACATGGCATTATATTTTGACCTTCCTTACCAAGAATGCTCACTATTACATTGGTGGTATTTTCTCCAAAAGTTTCAAATGTGACATTGTGAAGAGAATTCCCGCTAAGATAGCAAATCCAGCAGCAGGCGCTTCTACATGAGCTTCAAGTAACCAAATGCGAACTGGTAAATTGGCAATCAATAACAATATTTGACATCATTTGCTAAATTAGGTTGTTAATATGATTTGCAAATAAGGGTTTCGCGTTTGAAAGAAGAAAAATCTGGAAAGCAAGAGTCATGCCTCTTGAAGTGTTGAGAGTTGGAAACAAATTCCTTGCGCCTATTTTATTTATTATTTTCCAGGAGATCATAGGAGTCTGTTCATTTGTAGGAGTCCACAAGGAGACGGAAACGACTTTGGCTCACTGCAGAAATTCGCAGGCGATCGGGGAGCTCGTTCAAGGCGCGCGCCTTCAGCCCCTGAATTTGGCTAGCCAGAGTCATTTCAACTCCGCACATTTGGTGTTATAGCTCAGTTGGTAGCGTGCCAGCAGCGAATGCATGGAATCAGATCATGGGTTCAAATCTAGGATCCTTTAACTTGGCATTCAGCGGCCAGATGGGCATTACGTTGACGCACACCAGTTGCAGGGTTGGGGTGCAAAAGCGCACCAGCTCGGAGTCTCAGACTCTTGGTCTGTTAGAAAGGGCTAGAGGGGGCTCATTCTGGGATTGTGGAGGGTTATCTCGAACCCTTGGTCTGTTAGAGGAGGCTAGAGTGGGCCATGTGAGGGCGCGTAGCCGGGTAGTGGTGACGCCATCACCTTAGGGCCTCTTGGGTCTGGGTCTGAGAGTGGTGATGCGGTCACCTTAGAACTTCATGGAGCTAGGTCTAGTGGGGGTGCAGTCACCTTATCTGGCCCTCGTGTGGATCAATGCATGAATAGTTGCCTGGATAAATGACCAACTCTGACTGTGGGGTTCTTGAGATTAGGGGGGGTTACAATAGAATACCAGAATTGTATGGATTTATGGGGGGTGTGAGCTGACTTGTATACAGGAGGGGGTTAATATAGTGTACAGTATTAGGGCGTTCGCTGGATAAGCCCCATAGAGGGCGATCGGTTTGGGTTCTATAAGGAGGGCGGAATTAAGGGAGAGTGCAGAGGACCTTGCAGTTATGAAACGGTTTTCACCTTTTAGCAGTAGCGGATGCAGTACCCAGGGTTCGATCCCTAGACCTCACCCTACCCATGTACAGTATCTGTGTAGACCCCGAGAATTGAACCTGTGACCTGTGTATTCGTAGGCAGTTGGTAGACCTGTCGTAGGTCCATGGACAGCAGGGGTTCGATCTGTAGGTCTATAGCGTAGGAGTCTTAG